AAACCAAGAAAATATTATAAAATGGTGATACTGCTAGTATAGATGTCTATCTATCTGCTGTAATGTAAAAGAAATTGTCAATTAATTGTTTTGAGCACTGAGATAACTTTAGGTTAAATTTAAAAGGTGCATTACCTTTTAAATTTAACCTAAAGTTATCTAGCACAATAACTATATTAACTTAATAGTACATATTTTAAACGTAAAGAATATAAGTAATTACCTATTATATTTCTAGTCACGTATCCGTCAAAAAAATTGTTGTCGGACCAGTTGAATATGTTGCTTGCAAATGTCAATGGAGCCCGGAGCCGCATGCGCACGCACTAGTCGATGTGTACGCTATTAATGTAAAATAACTATAATTTAGGCGACGTCGACGTTTGGCGTTCAACCGCCAGCCTTTGGAAAGGCGACGGAAGCCTGTCACAGCCGCAATTACAGTACCGAGAATCGGCATTAGTTCGTCGTGTTGAACTATTTACGTATGTAAAATACGAGCAGCCTCTCGTACGGGGAAACGGCGATTGCACGCATCTCTCATTAAGCACTTTAGAGCAATTTGAGGAGTGGAGAAAAAGTCGGCCGAGCCGCGGCACTACATCGCGTGGTCAATTAAAATGTTGCCGCGCCAGTGCTGAGCGCCAGCCACTTGCTGCCAACGGTACGATCCCGACCAAATAATATAGCCGACTTGTACTGAATTGCCCGTATCCTCTGCTATCTAAACAAAGTGACATACGTGTGGCTACTGAGGGAGGCGTGACGTGTGTCGGTCGATAATTGGCATTTATTGACCGTACACTTTCAGGTTTCAAAATCGATTAACGATTTGCTTCTTCTTACGTCAAAGTGATCAGTCAGTATTCTATCTTATAAAAACTAATACTAATTTTACAAGAGCTTTTTATATTCTAAAGCTGCCCTCTAGGTATGTCTTCTATTTACAGTAGTCTTCTCCATTTCAAGGCTGCCTGTAAGAAATTGCTCTATGCCATAATGCTACTCTTTATACATAAGAATATACAGGTGATGTATTTCTTGTAGGCGAATTTAATGTTGATGTACGGGTGTAGGTACTTATTACTATTTCTAGTAAATTTCTTCGTGGCTCGAAACGTTAAAATCGGTTAAAACTATAAAAACCCACGTAAATAGGAAGTACTTTTATACAAAATCAATAAGCTATGAAATATTTGAGTGAAAATTTGTTTTCTAAATATTAGAGAAACAATTGTTGGTAAAACAGATTTTGTTTGTTCAGAATATCAGCTTTGAGAGTCATGAACATTATGGTGAAGAACGGAAGAACTGTGATCTATTGGTACCCAGTGATCTAACCACACACATATAAATTATGATTTTTATATTATATGTAACGAATAAAATTGACAATTTGCTTCTAGTTTCTGTCTAATGTATTTTCTTTCAAAGTTTCTTATTTAAAAAAAAAAAAACAATTGACAAAGTGGAGGACCCCTTAATTTTATGTTACTGGTTTATCTAACGACGTTCTATTTTTGTGATTTTTCTCACAGAACAGAACACTCTCAATAAGTTATGCTGCGAACAGACGGAATGGCAAACATACAGACATTATAAAGACCGCTGTACATATTGGGCCAAGGTCAATCCAGCAAATGGAGCCAACGTTATGATCCACGTGGTGGTATGTTGCTAGTTGGTGACAATACCGGCCCGGCCAACAGAGCAGTGTCGGTTTTTCGTGCAAGCTTAAAAAGATCTTAGCGCGCTCCGCAACAGTATTCATACATATTAGGTAATAATGAAAAGTACTATATAATTTGCACGGGCTGTAAGAGAAGCCACGTCCATCTCTATCAAAGCGCCAATTCAAAACGATAAGCACTCCAATGTGTAAATAAAATCGATATTCTAACGCAACATGCTGGCCCAGCACCTTAGTCCAATGTGTACAGCGGTCTTAAGACATCCCGGTTGCCTATCGAACCCTAAAAACGAATGCTATTATCGAAGAGTAAACCATAGAGTTGGAATTTAGTTTCACATCACACCTACTTGAACGATCAAGGTCTTGTATTACTAATTAAATTTTTATTTCTCACTTTACAAAACTGATAATATTATATTACTCGCAGGGCTCAGTGGTTGGAGCAATCACGCTGTTGTGGGTATGAACCTGTAAAAATGCGGTTATTCAGATGACAAACAGATATTTTTTTTGGACAGTTACCCTCACCTCACTTACTTTGAGTCCGTTAATTATATGCTTGCAACAACTTCCGCCATTCAGGAACACTTTTATACCGCGGAAGGGTTATTTATGGAAATAGAAATATATATGCAATATGGGATTTTATTTACAATATAGTACATATTACATTAAATCAAAAGCTTGCTTAAAAATAGTCTAAGCGAATGTACGTATAAAATTTATTATAAAATAGTTAAATGATTTTGAGCTTGATGAGCTTTTAATAATTTGATTGGTAAGACTATTTAAAGCAATAATACATCAAATTTGTAGAGCTGATAAGCCGAGTAAACGATAAAGTCGAGTCATCCCAGGAGCAACGGTTTCAAAATAAACAATCGGCTCGTGTAGATACACCTGAGCGCGGAGCGGAGCGGTTGCGCCGTGACTAGGCATCCTGCGCCCACGCACCTCCCTACAACGTTTGACTGTTGCCTGTCTAACAAGTTTTGAAACACTTTCGAAATTCACTGAGCTTTTGATGGCAATTCTATAGACTTCATTAAACAGGTAAGCGAACAGTGTGGTGAAGTAAACAAAATAAAAATGGAACTTGAAGGATTACTTCAAGTTGTACACAATAATGCAGTTCGTACCCATACTTATAATAAGTGTAGGTACAAACTGAACTAAAATGACAAAAAAATAACTTTATGCTTTAATTTAACTCTTTAAAAAAACCCTTCTTATTCTTATTCTCTTTAAGTAGATAACAACTGCCAAGTATTCATTCTTGTAGTTGTAATATTCGAGAAGTTATTTGAGATGCACAAATACCTATTCGTTTTTTTTCAGAAGGAATTACACACAGTAGATTTCTCTTAAAGATTACAGTGAAATAAGTATTTTTATGTTACTCTTTTTTTTTAATTTATTAAATTTAAAGTCACTCACAGACCGATATTCAGTTTTTTTTTTAATTTTAATTTTCTTATTTTAATGGGTAAACATATTTTTATTGAAAACAATTTAATAACTATTTTGTGCATACAAATGAGATTTTATAGCAAATACTAAAAATATGACTGTGCATCTCTTTCAGTCTCTCTCAGTTCATCAAGCACAGTATAATTAATAGCAATAATAATCAATTAATTGGTTGGTGATCAATTAATTTTCTATTAACACCAAAAAATAGATAGAAAGTTAGATGGAAATATTGTTTTTGCAGTATCATTTATATTGTATTAAGTAATATTGTTTAAAAGTAATGAGACACGTGTAGCGAATTTAATATCAAGCCAAATGTTTTGCTATTCATACGTCCGCGATAAACGTGGGTGATCTAAATATAAATTGCAGAAAGAAGAGACAATAGAAATAAGAGCTTTTTGTTCCTGCTCACTAATTGCAACCGGCGAATTGAACATCAATCACTAAAGTGATGTTAGAACGAAAACACTGTTAGTTTTGCCGCTGAATTATTAATTACATTCCCACAAAAAACTTACACACAACACCGAAACGCATAAATTTCTTCCTTTTTCACCGCACAAAGGAGCCGGGCGGTATACAATATAACGCTAAACAGATTAGCCGGCCGCGCCCGACACGGCCGTCGCGGCATAATTTTTGGCGCCAGTAGTCCTGCCTCTAGATTAAACTAATATGAAAAGGAAATTGAGTAGAAAATGGACGAAGGTTCTATGTGTCATTAAGAATTGGATACGCCGCTCTAAAGTGCCGGCGCGACCTTTATTATATTTGACTTCATTTAATTGAATTAACTTTAACGTTTTTATGAAGTGCTAGTGATGTTCGGAACGAAATTTAATGGCCTATTTTCAGATAATAACAATGACGTTTATGTGACGAATATCGCTTTATAAATAATAAATAGTCCTACCGACTTCAAACGGTCAGGCGAATAGAAAATTGTGTTCTATAACAAGCCGGTAACAATACAGTGATTTGTTCCACAATGTTAAAAAGATGCATACTATACGAACTATTATAATTTCGTACTTAAACTATTATAAATTAAGGTCGGCTTTATTATTCAGGGTATACGGCCAAGTAAATGCCGATTCGATTTGTTATTCAAAGCCAAATAGTAAGAAAATTTACACATTATGTTTTCTCTTACGGTTCAGTTTATTTGGAGCGGGTGAAACGGTCCACTCGACCCGCGGCGGCGGCCATGAATAGTAATAGAGGCTAGGGCTCGAGGGAGCCGCTCGGTACTCCCAGACTCAATCGCGGGTAATGTGCCGCTTATGGTGCGTGCTAAATCGACAATACCCGGGGGTACCCTGCTCTCAACAAACCGTTTTATCCACTCACCTATTTGGTTCGGTTTGTTCTTGAAATTAAACTTCGTAAACCGTGAAGAATTCCGTAAATAAGGTTGTAATAAGTTTGTTTATCAGTGATTACTGTAACATATCCATTAACAACGCTTAAAATTGTACATTATACTATTGGTTTCTACGTTATATATATTTATAGCTCATGATTTAGATTTCAACCTATAGATAAGTATACATGATATATAAGTATAGGAAGGAGGATATAAGGATAGGTAAATTTACAATGTACACACCTAAACCTTCAAAACTAAAATACCCAAGTTTGTTTGACGGATCATGGCAAAGAAGAGATATGAAATGATGTTAAACCTACTAACAGTCTCATTCACATCATATTTAATCTCAGAAAGCCAAAGACAACATTGATAAGACAGTTTTTCGTGTCTAATCACTTATTGTTAGTAACTGTGGTAGATCTATGTTAGTGTTGGTGACGTGAGCGTGGACTCACATTCATGAGCAGGTCCGGAGAGGAGGAGGCCTTGCCGCTCATGGCGCCGTTGGTGGCGGGTGCTGGCGCATGTCACACAGTCACTACACTCGCGAAGCGAGGCGCAGGCGGCGCGGGCGGTCTGCGTGCGCCGAGCGAGCGCGACTGCCGCGCGCTGGCCCCCACCGCACCACGCGAGCCCCCACCGCTACCGGCTGCCTCATTTCTCACTATAATTTGCGTGTTGCTCGTTTTTTACCATTATTACTCCCTCGTTTTGTTTTACGTATTATCGAGTGCATCCCGCTCGCACCGGCCGCCATGCGCGCCGTGCGCCGCCCAGATAATAGCTACATGCAATTACGTCGCACCGAAGTGACGCGACGTTGACGTCGCTCACCTAAACAACTACCGCCATCTGGTAACGAGAGGATGAACTGCTATTGTTAATAAAACAACTATGTCATTAGATCCAAATATCCCGTTCTATGCGTACAAAATAAACAGTTATAGCTAATACAAACTGTGAAAATAAACAAACATGTCGTATTCATTTAAATTGAAAGCATATATCTAAATCATAGTGTAACATAATTTTACACGACAATTATATTACGACTACAACAAACGTTTATATTACATTACATACATATTGTATCTGGAATTCACCTTAGTTTTAGTTCAAGTAACTGTCGAAAATACTCGAACAAACAACTTTTAATTAAAGTGAACTTCGTCGTAGCAGTTCGTAGCCCTGTCGTAGCGCCAGATGCTAAACACCAGTGAATTGTACTCACATATATGTTTCAGGTTTAGATATAAAGTAAAATATGTAATTATAAACAGAAATACTACTTAATATGTAGCTACGTTATCAATTACCTTTACCCACTTACTCTCAAGACATGAATTGCATTGATTCCTTTTCACCAAGAAAAAGTTATTGGAAAAGACGTACTTCCTACTTGTTCTTGTAAAAGTAAAAATAGACTACACCAACGATATACGTTTTAACTTAAATTTTCATATACTTCATATTATTTAAATAAACGGTCGAGTGGTTAGTGATCCTCAGTGCAGAAACAGGGATCGTGGGTACGATTCCCCACCAGTACAAAGAATTTTGAGAGAAACATTCATCATGTTATGATTCATCTATAATATGTATGGTTGTCAACAGTCTGGTTATCACAGCACAGAATCTACCTACGTTTTGATCAAACAGCCGTATGGGCCGTATCTCAATTTATTAATATTATTAATTCAGGCTCAAAAGGCAAAATGAGGAATCGCTCATAATTATTTCTGCCCAAAAAATTTCCAGTCGAGTCTTACTTTTCAAATTAAAGTTTTATATTAGTTTGAATACATAATTACAGTTTTAATTCTCATCACATTACAACAGTTAGATTAATTATATTGTGATTATGAATGATCACACATTACTTTTAATAACAGCTGATTAAAATATAGAGCTAAGTAAAAAATATTAATCAATCTCTAAAAAGTCTAGTCTATAAAAAAATATTACTTTATGGCGTTGAAACACTTTTAAAATACTTATAAACCTGTTTCAATTAATATAAGCTGGTATTTATTTGATGTTATTAATAAAATATATTACAGAACGCTGGTATCTATGAATAGATCTGTGATTAAGATCATAATTTATACTTAATACCGACCGATCATGATTTATGGACATATGGACTACATCACTTTAGTATTTTCATAATGTTTTGAATGTTAATATGTTAATTTTGAATATTATTTTGAATAAAGTCGTGTACCGCCTCTTCAAATTGCCAAACCTTACCAGGTAACAGGTTAGAGTTCATTCTCTGTGTTTTATGTTTGCCATAAATGTTAGCTAACTTTGATTTAAAGTTAAAAATAAAGTTATTGTTCAAAATATAATATAATTACGAAGTCGAGGCTGTTCGAAGTAAATCCCAAGATGCCCAGTCATCTGCCGACTTTATTTTAGAACCAAGCTAAGAACGTAGTAGTTTTATTACTAAACAATATTTATGTGTGTACTCTTAAACGTAGCAATCAATTGAAAGTCCGAAGGTATCAAATTAAATTTACTAATACTGAAACTAATATCGAAATAACTAAACTGATGGCAGAACATACAAAACAAACACTTTACATTATTGCTAAGCAGATGCAATATAACTGATATTAGTTATTTTAATTAATATCACAGCACAGTTTTCAAGTTTTTCAAAAAATAATAATTAGGTAGCAGAGTTGAATGAAAAGTATTATTTATTAAAAACATAATTTTATTTTTTTCATGAAATTACTTTATCAAATATACAACAATGAGAAGGCACGTTTATTACAAAATATAAAATATATTACAAACATCACATTTAAATTCACCTGGTAACTTAAATGATCTTTAAATTATTACGAAACGAGGAAACATGCAAGCTTTTATAAAAAGGTCCAAACCCTAATCGTATCCAGACCGAAATCACAACAATTTATTCGAGTAGATATGTATATTAAACACTTATTGTCCTAAAGCCACTGGTGGTTGTAAATTATAGTGTCCTTGAAACATCGCGTAATTTTCTTTAGCGGCGCACTGGTACGTGGCTATCGAAGTGGGGTACTGTTGGTACATTCGGTGGTCGCGAACACTAGGACGCGGATATAAGGCATCTTGCCTCATTTCAGGATACCAGCCGGACATCATCCCACTACCGAACACTGCGCCACTGTTGTAATTAGGTGTAGTCGATACCATATTTGGAGCAACCGCTCCATAATTTATAGACATTTGTTTTGGTGCACTTGCAACAGGTATACTCGTAGAAGGGACCGTTCCATAGCTCGTGCTGCCAACGGCTGGCGCCGGCGCCATCGTTTGCACCTCAGATACACGCTCCGAATTGTCACTTGTACGAGACGGTGTTTCTTCTTTCTCGTCGTCCTTTGATTTTTTGTTTTTTCTCGATACATTGGCATGAGTTTTCACATGTTTAGCAAGATGATCGGACCGCATGAAACGTTTTGTGCAGAGTTGGCAAGCGAATCTCTTCTCTCCTGTATGTGTCCTCAAATGTCGCTGCAGTTCATCCGATCGTGTGAAACGCTTACCACAGAAGAGCCAGTTACACACGAACGGTCGTTCTCCTGTATGCCAGCGTAGATGAGCTTTTAGATGTGATGTTTTTCCATAAACTTTTCCACAGCCAGGGACGTGGCACACATGTTCACGTTTAGCGCCATCCTTGCCGTAATTAGGACCAAATCCAGCAGCTTCAGTTAGACAATTAGGGCAGCGGCACTTTGCACAACGCCGCTGAAGTTCCCGAGCTTCTTCAGCAGCAGCAGGTGTCGGTGGCCAGTATGCTGGATACTGGGGTGGGTAGGGAGGCAGCTCACGCCACGCAGGAGGCGCGCACCACGCTCCTGATGATGCACTGCTACACGACGATAGATCCGATGCTGGTGATATGGTATCACCGCGGCCATAGCCACAGCCATATCCAGTCATCATATTCATCATCTGTAATAAACAAACAAAATAAACAAAGTTAGACTTGCAAACTTATAACATGTTTCAATTAATATTGTTTAATAAACGACAATGATTATGAAATTTAAATCAACGAGTGCACATTTTACAGGTTATTATTATCCATAACAATAAATATCGTGTATTAGTGGGCGGGCGGACGGACCTGTTGCGCGGGCGGATCCACGTATTGCATTTCCGGAGACGGTGGTGACAACGTTGAGCGACGAAACCTTCAACTAGATAATTACAGGGCGGCGCACCGTTCTCGCCGAGACGTTTTTAATAACTGGCTTGGAATAGACGTAACAAGCGGTTGTCACCTCGCCCCGGCCCCGCTGCCCCGAGGGAGCGAGCGGCGCACGCGCACCCTCCCCGCCTCGTACCCCACCCGGCATCGTCCGCCACAGCCTCCGACACACCCCACCCTGCCCCGTGAGTTATGAGCTTATAAGTTCGACCCGAGAACGGGAGAAAGAGCGAGACGACAACCTTCAAAACAAAAGTTACGTTAGAGAAACAACTGTTTACTTTGAACTTTATCTTCATGTCATGAATTAACGTTCCTCGTCATAATAACCGATATTCATACTCGTAAAGTGTTAGTGATGATTTATTTGAAAATAAACTTATTTTATTATTATTTAGTAATAAATGTAAAATAATATCTACAATAAGAGTTCTAGGAAATTAATATTTTTAAATCAGTTTGATATAAGAGCTGGCATTCATATTTTTAAACGATTTACTGATACGAGATATGTTTTTAGTGATTTGGAATTTCTAGCCCCTAATTCTTTTAAGTAAAGAGGAATCTCTTTATTCTCATTAGAATAAGAAGTGAAGTTTAAATATGTATTTAATACGTAAATGCCTTAATTATATTAATGGCGCTTACATTAATGGCATCGTTAATTTGGTGACGGATTAAGAATACGTAGTGTCACCAACTCTCTTTATCCCGTGTGGAGTAGAAGCCAAACAAGAGAGAGCTAACTACGCAAGACAACAGCTCTGCAAAGAAAAGGAAAACTTGAAATAAAGCCTTTCCCAAACCGTTTGGCCTGCGTGGCATAGTAGGTCCCACCTCCCTTCTAAGAAAAGGCCTATGTTTAGCAGTGGACTATCAAAGACTCTTGATGATGATGATGAATGACGCCAAGACACACAGGCACAATACTAGATACAATTAAGACTCTTGGTCTTAATTGTATGATGAAGCTTGTCAGAGTTGACATATCAAAGTTATTATCCTGGATGGACTGCTATAAGTACATACAATGATTCCACAGGGCTATATTTATTAAGTACACATTTTACTTTAATAAAGTTATAGAACAGGCTTTAGAAGCCTATACACATATTTATTTTAAAGGCATCTCCGACGAGATAATTAGATAATATTAATGATAGGCCCTTCCGTCGCGTGATCTATAACAACAATATAAATAATACATAATGCATCTAAAGAAATCTACGTATGGATATCGAACACACAATCGAAAAACATGTATCAATACGCGAGATGGGTAACCGCTGCGGTTATTAAAACCTTTTGACATTTCTAAAAACTAATAATAAATCAATCCAGTGAAAATAAATTGTTTTTAATTAATTACCTACCTAGCGCAGTGACATCAAGTGCATTCGACTGCAATATCAAAGTTCGCGCGTTTGATTACCAGTCAGATTTACGATCAGAGACCATATTTATTTACGTTAATGATATGATAATTTATTTTATTATAATAATCATTAAAAAAAGTATGTACTACAACCCATACAAGTTTAGATAGCGTTGTGTAATGTGTCAACGAATATTTATTATTATTACATAAATATTTCTATTCGTATTTTATGAACATGTGAAATGATTGAATTAATTTTATAGTGTGATTTTAAATATATTTGAGTATAAAGGTGTAATTAACGTACCATAATGAGTAGTAAAAGATTAGAAAAGGTATAGTAACATCAATGTCGAACAAACATCATTTCTTTTGTCGACAGAGTCAGTTCCCAAAGACAGTCCGAGAGAACTTAATGTATTTAATTTTTTCTCTATTTCGGTCGGCAGTTTGCGGCAGACGCATGATTTATGCATATTCGAGCGGAGCCAAACCTTTAATTACACGTTGTTAAAATATGGCAGTTTGTTAAATCGTTCTCTCTGCTTTTGTTTTACCAAACACCGCGCCTCTTAGAGACCACGCTCCCTTTTCTTGCTTCAACGAAATTTTTATATTTATATTTTTTATATCTATAATTGCCTTTCCAAGTACAACAGTATTTTGTTTATTCTTTTGGGAGTTTGTTATCAGTTTAGAGACCATGAGAAAATATCTTACGGGTAGATTGTATACAGTAATTTTATTTAAACGTTTCTAATTAATATTTTTTGTTATAAACAGTGAAAAATACTTTCTTCATGAGATTCCAAAATAATGTTATTGAGTACTAGACCTTTATGTTATGCCATGACTACTACGAACTTAACCTGTTAAACGGTACTTAATCAATATAACTTTAAAAGAAACGTGACAAATGACGGTTATACGTAGTAATAATACACATCGTCAATGAAATATAAAACTCAACTATAGAGGTAGCTGAGTTGTTGTTAGTTACACTACACCTACGAGCAGGTTAAGTGTTCGTAGCTCTACACATGTCATTGAAATTTTGTTCATAACAATACAAGTGCAATTTTAATAACTATTTTAATTCTTGAGTAAAAAATAGTTGCATGGTTCAAATGCCATTACACCTTATCTATTAATGGTAAATTAACAAATCAATCAAGGCTCCAGCGATGTTACAGACTTAACTTAAATATCATTTTACACTCTATTTCAAATAGACGAAATAGTATATTAAGTATAAAACACTTTTTATCCAAAAGATGGAATAAAAAGCATTATAAAAACCTATCCTGTACAAGTGCAAGTCTGAAATTTAATGATATTACAAGCTTCCTAGTTTGTCCCACGCCTTTCCACGAAATTACTACTGTTATACTCTTATTCTAGTACAAATGCGCTAACCTGTCGACATGTTTACGACGCCATAGAACAAAAGCTCGGATGGACAGACCAAAAGGCATGCTACTGTGTCGAAGTCGGCGTTCGTTGTACAAAGCCCACATGCCGAGGACAATGTCCGACAATGCCGGCTACTAATGCCCCATGATCGTCTCCTCTTGCCATAAATCTTAAAGCTACTGTGTTTTTGTTAACAAAAAATAGTGCGCTGCTCACTAGCTTGTCCTGCGCCATGTTGCAATATTGGATGTGAAATATGTTTTGCGGCGCTTTTATCATATTTATTTTGTGACTTTCTTTTGTTGACAAAATGTATTAGGTGAAGATCTTATAGACTTTTTGGCGGTGCTGTGAAATGGGATCAAGTGTAAGAGCAAACATGACGTACAATCAAGTAGTTGTACCTATGTTACGAAAAAGTCATATTTACATTTAAATAATATTGGACGATATTTCTGATACTAAATCTATGTATGTATTGGGAATCCATTGGGTATTGGGAATTGTACATGGTCATTAACTTGGAATACTATTGTATGTACATATAATATCCTGAATTGGTGTACAATAATGATTATTCTATTCTATCCTTAAGACTCTGAGTTAAAGCTAAATTAATTCGAGTTGTTCATATTTGGAATTTAGGTTATTGCGCTATAAGTATGAAAAGTTAAATTAAATATAATCTAATCTTTCTATCCGACGAATACATCAAATCTATAAACATTTTGAATAACAGTACTGTACCTGTATAAATTTTGAACACAAAACATTTAAATATAAAAATTACTAAAGGAGCATATTAAGGACCTAACAACACTCCAATTTTATTACGCAGAAGTAAGAGTACCGCCATTGCCGTCCTTATACTAACTTCTCCTGAAATCGCTACGGTTTAAGTTAGTCCATGTGGTCAATTTCCTAAGAGATACGTTAACCCTTGTAGTTCTAGATTTGCAGTTTGGTCTAAAGTACCTAATAATTATATTGGGCAAATGGAGTATCAAAAAGAGTATCAAAAAATATTTTCTATTTGTTTTCTCTTCTATATAATATTATGCATAATGATTTAATTATGTATTTTTTATACGACATACCTCAGGACTGGCCTGTTGGTCTAGTAGTTAGCAATGCCGACTGCTAAGCCAGAGGTCGTGGGTTTGATTCCCACCGAGGACAGCATATATAAATATGTTTATCAGCAGTCTGGTTACATAGTACAGAGATGTGTCAAGTTATTATTATTATTAGTGAACCAACTCAAACCACATTTATGTCGTTTTCCTTCTACTCATGTATCAGAAACACCAATAGGTATAGAGGAGGAAGTCATCAGTACATGTGACCTTGAAGACCGGAACTTTGATCGATGAGACATGTCGCGGCAGTAGGAAGACGAATAATCTGTCTTCCGTGGTATGTTGATCCATTTAGCTACTAATAGAAATATCTTTTACAGCCAATTCTGCATGTTCTGAAAACTGAGATTCTAAAATTCCTAATTATTAAAATTGTCTGGCAAATTAGACATATAACCAAATATATAAAGTATACAGGTACTTTACTTACAGGGTCTTTACTGTAAATAAGTACCGAAAACAAGGTTACCTGAATCGTTTTAATACATCATTCAGTGATTGTCGGCAACAGTGTTGCTATTCCAGTATAACAAAGGAAGAATGTTCTATAACTAGAAATCTTTTACTTTTTATCCGCACGGATATTACGTGCCGTTATGGTATCATAAAATTATTAGCAAACATCGACATCTGAATCGAGCGAATACGGCTGTTTCCGCTCAAGGAGCTCGGTGTATCTTACACTAATTACAGGTTTCTTATATCGTGGGCGGGTAATTGGTTCTATCGCACGCTGTCCTTCACTTCCTGTCTTTTGCCAGGGTGTTCAATAGACTTGGCGCTTTATGAGGACTTATAAAGTACCGACTCGGTGTCAGGTTCCACCTATTGTGGTACCCAAGGCGGCACCCATGTTGTTGTTCGTACTAAATATGAAGTAAATTGTGCATTACTAATGTTCTTTTTAAGATTGTTTTTGGAGGTTTTATTAACTACTGCGGTATTGATCAGGATCTCCTTTTGCTGATAGATCATAGCCGTTGACAATAAACCAAAATTACGAAAGTAGAGGTTTAGAAACTCGTCATTAGGAACTTATTAATACTCTCAAATTTCGGAGACAGGTTGTAATCTACAACACGATAACCCTGTACTTTTATTAATGTTAGGTTATCATAAAACTGTTACTGTAGCCTCTTAAATATTAGACTGTAAATGACTGAAAATAACAAAATATGTACCTAATTTATTTAATATTCTTTATTCTTAACATATTAAAATATTTAACTTTTTTAATGATTTTTATGTCTGAGTCTTTGAGCTGCAACGAAGTTGAATTCGTTTTAATTGTTACTAGAGCTCGCGTTGTGATCGAGTTTCCACAATAACGCATCAATTTTAAATGATGATGTTTTACATCTTTGACCTAAAACAACTTGAACAATACCAGTAGGTATAGACTTTACTTACCACAACAGGTCAACATACAAATATACTGAAAATGACTGATTCGATCAATGAAGCTTCTTTTGTTCCTTATCGCATAGGTACGTATGTTGAATCTTTTTCATGTGCTCAAATTATTTGTAGGTATTGATAAAAAAAAAAAAAAAAAAAAAAAAAAAAAAAAAAAAAAAAAAAAAAAAAAAAAAAAAAGGTATTGATAACGAAAAAAAAATACACTTAAATGACGCAAAAATCACTTAGATTATAAGAAGGATTTGAATAGGTATATCAGGAAATAAATAAATACCTAAAATAGTTATTAGATAAAGTACCTAATGCAGTTATTTATTCGTTTCTCATTTCTAAATATGCAGGTAATCTTGCTGGAATGTCAATGTGTTTAAGAAATTGGAAAATATATGTATATTATTGGAAAGAATGTTTCTGGTTAAAAAATCGCACGGCGTTAAATCGCACTATCTTGGTGGCGAGTTGACATCAGAATTTCGTGAGATAATGTGTTCGAGAATGTGTGAGATAATAATAAGTCGATTGTTTCATGAACGGTGTGGCAGGTGGCGGCACCACCTGCTAAAACCACGTGTTGTCCAGATTCATGCCGTCCAGTTGAGGCCACAAGAACTCTGTTATCATATTCCTGTAAAGTATGCCGTTTACAGTCACTGATATTTCGGCCTCATCTTCAAAAAAGTAAGGCCCAATCACGCCGCCTGACCAAAATCCGCACGAGACAGTTGCGTTGTGGGTGCATTTGTTTCTCATGGATTGCATGAGGATTTTCTGAGCCCTACATTCGATAATTTTGTGTATTCACGTAGCCATTCAGATGGAAATGCGCTTCATCGAAGATGACTTTTTTTGAAAAATTGGCATCGATTTCACTTTGCTCCATTACCCATTGAACGAATTGCCGGCGCTGTCCATGGTTTGTTTGAGCTCCTGAGTTAGCTAAATCTTTTACGCATTAAGGTGGAGGTCTTTTGTCAAAATTCGCTGCGTAGTGCTTCGTGAAATTTGAAGTTGTTGAGAACGATGCCGAATTGAAGTTTTCGGGTTTTCTGGTACACACTCGTTTACAGCAGCAATGTTTTCAAGAGACCAACCGGTACGTTGACGCAAAGGATTCTTAATATCCATAATCGACCCAGTTTCTTCAAATTTTTCGACCACTCTTCGAGTGGTTGACACATTAGGTGCACTTTCTCAACTGAAAATTTGGCATAGTTTCGGAGCATAACTTTCGCCACTTTTTTAATGAGTTTTCCCAAACAGAAGGCGTTGTTCTTTCGAAATGCGCTCCATTTTCAATACCTAATTGGAATAAACATAGGTGACAGCTGACAAATTTCAGAGTTGCCACTTGCACGAAAAAACTGACTCTAGATTTAAAAAGTGCATTCTTACTGAGACACCCTTTATATCTTCCAATTCACGAGTATGCCTTGCCTAAACTGCCGTACGCATCAACACGGCTTATTGAACAACTGCCCTTTGACATTTTTATAACAAATTTTGCTGATTTTTTCAAGAAATTTGATATGATGCTTTAACAATAAGACGTAAAAAGCCAAAATGCTACGCGGGTTACGAATAAGTTTTATAATGCTTTTGTATAACATCGGACATTCTTGTTATCTGATCGGAATTCCGCTCAGTTTCGCGCAGTTGAAGGAGTGAAGAATACATTGTGATTCTGTAATAAGATCACCCAAAGTACCTGCTACGAACAATGAGAGATGCACAGGTTCACACCAGCGATGCTCCTTTGTCAAACTATTGTATCTGTGAAATGTATTGCGTAAAGCAGTAGTCACGAAAAAAATGTGTCTCTAACCGACACGTTGTTCTTCAGCCATTAATCATATATTTTAAGTATTTTTTTCTAATTATGGGTAAGATGATAGTGATCTTGGTGCGTGTCTTATACCTATGTTTGTAAGTTAGGAGTTAGTTATAACAAAGGTCTTTGTAGCGATTGTATGTACATAATATTTATAAATACTAAATTTGCAATTAAACGTATTAAATGCTTAATCCCTTTTAGTATGACTAAGAAATAATTACCTTATTATAGCCAGCTGGTAACTAGTTACCAGCTTATCCATCCATTCATCTTGATAATTTTTAAGTTGTTTTTAAAGCAAGACAATCTTTACGATTTTCTTTCATTATAAATTCAATCATTTTTTCTTTTGTATGTGCTGTGCTGTGTTCATCTGGTTCATCACTGGGAATAACGATAAAGTAGAATGTCGGCGTCGAACCGTCCAAAACAGAGTTGATCGATAAGTGATGGTAAGCCATAGTCTGTGTGACTAGGGATTAGTAAATTTTCGAGATGCTTTCGATTCTTTCTAAGTGTTTACCAAATAATCAAGGTGCTCCTTAATCGGTAAAAAACTGGTGACCTTACAGTGAAACGCCAGACACCTTGCCCACCCTTGGTCCATAGACGTTGGTTGATGTGAATACGACGGGTTGGCCACAATGCCTGTTTTTTTTCTATTTAATTTATTTATTTTAATGATTGTAAGGTGATGGTTGTAATTCATTGTATG